AATTAATTAATTTATTTAATAATGTTAAAATTGAAGTTAAATTTTTTATTTTTTATGTAAATTAATTACTAAATAAAATACTTATTACCTTCTTATTACTTTAAAGAGATCCCTTGTCTGTTTAACTATTTAACTGCTTTTTCACGTAAAGCTTTAAACTTTAAAATAATCAACCATCCATTTATAGTCGATTTTTTATGGTAATTTTTTTGTGGTAGCTGGCACAGTGAGCATGTATATTTTGCAAGTGAACCATAAAGTTGGTTTGGGATTTATTCTGAAATTACGGTTTAGGAGTGTATTGTTAAATCAGAAAACCTAGTCTATTAAAAAAAAAACCTAATAATTGTGATGTTACATATGTACCTTCTTTTTTTTTATAAAAAAATTATTGAATTAATCAATTAGCATCTATTTAAGGTCAAAATCGAACCAAATATAAGACGAATTTCATTTACTACTCGTGGAATAACGTGATTCATGCACTAAGCATATATAAGGGAGTTCACATATGTACCTTTCTGTATTGAACAAAAGTAAACGTCCAAAAGTTTTAATTTTTAAGATATTAAGATTGCTTGTAAAATTTATTTACAATTTTTTTGCATGTATTTTATTTTTTTTTAATATTTTAATTGTAAAAATATCTTTTTTTTTTTGTTTGTTTGTTTGTGTTTTGTTCATAAAAACAGAAGATTGTTTAAGTTTACCTTATCCAGGAAGTAAAGGCAAATTAATTGAGTAGCATTAGGTACATTGTTAGTTATCCTTTTAACTTATTTTTTTTATTAAATTTTCATATTCAAAAGTTATATTTTTTTTTAATTTAAAATCGAGTCAAATTAGACTTGTAAAGAAAAAAAATTTTAATATTTTTTTATTCACAAAATTTAGATTTAAAACTTTATTTTAAAAAGAATCATATTTTTTTCACTCAAATTAATTAATTGTTAATACAATTTTAATTTAATTAAATCTATTTAAACACCAAAATCTTTTAATGGTGGTTGTTAAGATGTTAGGGCTCTTCATTGACTCATAGGCCCTACCCAAAACCTAAACCATCTCCATGGGTTTTACGGATCATCAATTGTGACATCTCAACAATACTTTCTAGATTTTGTGGCCAATGCTTTAGGTCCCATCTTCCGTATGCCTTTGCAAATTTTTGCTTAAACCTTCTTCTTTATGTTATGATGCTAATTTATACATGCTCAGGTCTCTAAATATCTTAGTTATAATTTTTTTGGTCTCACTCATGGTAGAAAATTAAGACACACACTTTAATTATTAAAAAAAAAAAGTACTTAAAGTTTACGTAACTAATCAGGTAATTTATTTCTTACTTGTTTATTAAGATTTAATTTCTTAAAAATATCAATATCAAATAATTTAAGAATATCATTATCAAGACGTGAATATTTTACTTTAAATGGGTTTGGGAGGTGAACCAGTGAAGTGCCCAAAAGCGCTATTAATACTCCTTATGCTATAAACAAAAAAACTATTAGAAAATGTCATAAATTATATTTGGGTGTATGCGTGTACATTTAACAAATAAAAGTTGAACCCTAATATCCAAATTTTAATTTTTAACTAGAAGAATTGCTTTGTATAATCATTAAGCACCATAATAATTTATCTTCAACTTTATTATTGTACCGAATAAGACAAAAAAATTGCAGTACTGACACCTTAGCCTCTGTTAGGATTTTTGCAGGCCAATCCCTAGGTCTTTGGTACGCTAATATATAGCTTAGTTGTGATTTTTAATAATCCTAATCACCTCTAATCAAAAAAAAAAAAAATCCTAATCACCTAATTAGGCCAACTAACAATTCAATAAAAATGGCATTAAAATTCTCCAAAGCACATGGACACGTTGTCACCAACCCCATGTGCATGGGTTACCAAATTCCTTACCTTACTGCTTCACTCAACATTATTGTATCTGGCAGTTTCTGTTAGCCCTGAGCCCCCTACAACCTACCATCTACAATCAATTTCATTTAGACAATGCTGATGTTATCGTTCCAAATACAACCAGACACCTCAATCTCTTTATTATAATTCCAATTCTAATACTTGGCATTAATGGAGCTCATGTTTTGCTATCAACGACAACATTGCTACTTATAAAATCGACGACTCTACCCATTGAAATATTTTATTGCATCCTCACGATACCATGTCACCAGTATGGCAGTATCCCAATCCCATTAAAAATTAACTCATCAAGTATTTCAAAAAAAAAAAAAAATCTCAAATTTCTTTTTGAAATGAATATTTTTCAAGTTTTAGGTAAGAAAATAAGTGACACCTTAATGATTCTAAACTTGAATACCTCCATCTGGCATGAAGTTAATAAAATGATATTAGAAATGGCATCTTATGATCACATTAAGAGACAAAGCCTTGTACTTTTTTTGGAGGGACAAAGTCAAAAGAAATTGAATAAGATTAAATTCAGAACCCAATGATTTTACTCACAAAGTGAGAACAATCGTACAAACTTTCCATAAGTTGATGATTTCCTTTGATAAAAACTAGCACTTCACATGGAGGAAGGTCTTTAAGTTTTCTATTGCACTAATCATTACCTCCAATTAATGCCTAAGAAATGAGTTGAATCTTTGACACCTTGAAGAGCTTGGCCCCAGCAATGGAAATTGTAAGATCTCGGTTGTTCTTCATTTTGTATTTCCTCGAATGGAAGCTCAGATCAGTGCATCAAAAGTGGTGAATGTTATCCTTTCATCAATCCAAGAATTTCACCTCTAACTGAAGGGGTGAATATCATCAAGGAATACTTAGATTTCTTCATCTGAAGTAACGATTTCTAATTCAATTGTTTTCCCTGTACCCTGCAAGGTATAATCCTTCAAAGCAACCCCTGGCTCAGTTTTCCTTCTTTTTACATCAAGCTGTTCGCTTCTGGAACGTAGGTCTTTCTTAACAATAAATGATTTCCTACAGGTGATGAATAAATATTCAATGAAATGGAGATGATAAAAGAAAGAACAAAACTATATAAATGGCTAAAAATAACTCACCTGTTCTCTGATACAGTCACTTTTTGACCTGTAATTGTGCCAGGTTTAGTTGTAACTTTTGAATTCATTTTCACTGTACATTAAGAAAGGAAGAAATCTTTGATTAATACTTCTTCGAGCCACAGCCACCCTGAACAAAGAAGGCTTACAAGCTGATACCTGTAACTTCTTTTAGAAATCTCATTCCTTGTGAATGTGTATTTGTTGTCACTTTGTCTGCATTTCTGCTCAATACAGAAAGTAAATCCATCAATGGAGTTATAAAACATGCTTTTCCAATCGCATATATATGATATGTGCTATCTAGCACAAACCTTAATGCCTGTTTTAGCCCTTCCACAGACATTACTTTAACTGGCTTTGTGGCACTGATAGAGTTTGTCCTTTCAGCTGGAGGTTTAACCACATAAATGCCTTCTGGCTGCTGATGATCTCTAAATGCCATTCTCAAATTCCTACAAGATAAAAATCACATATAAGGTACCAAGGAGAGCAAAATCGATTACAAGGAAGAAGCAACATTTCTTGTTTAATGCACCAAGCACAACATGCACAATGAAAACATAAGAAGCCAAGATTGCCATACCCTCCCTTCAACTCAGTTCTCTGTGTGGTATATCTTTCTGATGCTTTCTGCAGAAGTAGAGCAGATAGGAATAGCAGTCAGTATTTACATCCACAATGTTTATTAGACAACAAGATTGAGGAGCTGTAAGTCAAGCTTACTGATTTGTGATATTGGCAGTATTTTCCTCGACGCCTGCAATAACAGAACAAGCAAAAGTGCAAATATCAAGAAACCAGATATATGGAACATATAAATAAAACATCAAATATGGAGCCTAATATCATATTCATTGGATTATGCATTTAGCTATTAATGAAATGGAAAGATGAAGGACCCAATTCAATTTGACTGAGATCTGAGTCTAAATGCAACTAAATAAGAAAACCATCAAATACTTTTAACAAACCAATCAAGGACACGAGAGAGTGATCTCTGTCTTTTCTCATGTGTAATCCGCTTGTCTGTCAGAGATTTTCATATAGAAAATCTTTCTTTTAATTCACTCTTAACCACTTGACTCTAATCTATTATCAACAAAACATGTATTCTGCTCATAAAGAACACACACATTGTAATTCATATCATTCTAAAGCTTGTAGAGGAACTTTTATACAAATATTAACACATTCCAATCATTGTGTTTTTGTAGAAGTTAACATCTAATTTGTAGAAGCAAACTGCAAAATATATAACAATTGATATTTCATGGAGATGGACCTCAGATAAGTTAATGGGGCAATAGCAACTGGAAACTGGGAAAGGCTAGAGTCCATCTATCCAAATCTCTACATTATTTTTTCTCTACCTTTTGCATAAGAATACTGAAGTCAACAATACTGTATGAAGTGCATATAAACAGATGAACTAGAAGAAGCAAAACCTTTTGACTCTTCTACGTGAAATAATCATTGAAGATAGGCCAGAACAAAACATGGTAACGAACATACTTATTTATGACAAGTGTACAAGGCACTCCATCTGTCCTCTTTCCCTCACAAACTCCATAATCTGCAGAAGTACCAATCTTTAGAATTTGGTTGGCAGAGCTTAGACTCAAAGAAAATCCTTGCCCCTGCAAAAGATTTAAAAAGTATAAGTTTCTCGATGAAAAAGAACCGCAAAATCCAATTACTACATGAGAAGTAGGGACCTTGGAATCCTTCCGTGCGGAACCATTAAACAGTGCAAAAACTGTTCCCTCCTCCTCTTTCCTGTTCTGTTTATAAGCGTCACCAAATAAGAAAAGAGAAACACTATCTTCAGTCAAACACCCAATTTTCCATATGCCATATTCCTGCCCAATAGAACTCGTCCTTGGGACACCCTTCTCAATCAACACTCCAACAGTTGCCCAACATCCTGAGAGAGTGTCTCCGGCCAATAAATTCCTATAGAATTCCACTATAGTTACTATCCACAAGTCAATCATATCAAAGATAGCTTCACTAGGATGGCATTTTGGAAGTAAGTTGGTACTTGCTTGGTATTAAAA